GAATAAAAAGTGCTGCTAAAAGTATAAACAACTGTGTTAAATCATTTTCATTTATTCAGAAGACACAGAGCTGCGCACCGTACCAGATCCAGCCCTGCTTGTCTTCTGAGATCAGACATGATCAGGGTGGTTGAGATAAATCAGCAACATTTCTGTTTTTAACTTCTGAACTYTTGACTCTGCTCTGGATGTTCTGGCAGATTAAATTTTGTGTAAAGAGTCAGTTTAGTGCACATTGTCCTGATCTGGATGTTGTCTTTTGTTACAGGACTTTCAGCTGGCGAAGCCCCCGGCCATGCCCTCCAAGAAGGCCGATCAGCCCAGCTTGGCGGGAACATCCGAGGCCTTCAGCACGTACTTCAGCCGTGTGGGCACGGCCCAGGACATGGACGACTGCGACGACTTCGACATCTCTCAAATGAACCTGACCCCGGTCACCTCCACGACGCCGTCCACCAACTCCCGTGAGTGCCCCGCCCTGTGTGCAGCGTGTGTTCAGAACACACACGTTCATGTGTGTCAGAACGCACACGTTCACGTGTGCGTTCTGACACACATGAACGTGTGCATTCTGACACACGTGGACACCTGTGACCTCCTCTGTTCTCCCCTGCAGCGCCCACTCCGGCCCCCAGGCAGAGCTCTCCGTCCAAGTCCTCAGCCTCTCACATCAGCGACCCCCCCACCGACGCCACGGACCCCCCCACAGACGACTCGTTTGGGGAGGCGGAGGGGAGTCCCAGCCGCAGCGGAGAGGAAGATGCTGTAAGTGTGTGAGGATGACGATGGTGGAGCAGGTCAGGTGTGTGTGCACCTGTTAATGCCTGCTGATAAACTGCTTCTGTAGCCGTGTTGGCGGTCCGGGTAATTACTCTGCCTGATTAGGAGACCACGCTGTTGTGTCCCTTGGTGTGTGTGTTTGCATCAGTGCACGTGTGTGGTGTGTGTGTGTGTGTGTGTGTGCGTGGTCAACACAGCATTAAATGAGCTGCTGGAACTGTCAGACATCATTAAGCTGTTATTAATAGCAGCGAGGCAGCATCCATACATCAGTGTTTCTAAACACATGGAGGAAGACCTCCGTTTCTTCTTCCACTGTAATCTGACTCAAACCAGCAAGACAAACTGTGGAAGATGAGAAAATAAGAATAAAAATRCACAAAAGGTGAAAAAATCTCAGCCCCTTGTAGAGTTTGTGACCTCCCGAGAAACACGACTTCTGCTGCTTTTCCAGCCTGTTTTCTTCCCGTCTCCTTTCCTGTCCTTTTGTGTTGTTTGTTTAAAGCGTCGCTCCTCTCTCCTCACCAGGCACCAGACATTAGTTTTATGTCTGCAGTCCAGCCGTTATTGAAGAAAAGAAAGAACGACTGCTGAAAATGTCACCAGTAACAACAGGAAACCCTCAGGGCTTTCACACCAGCTCCAAGAATTCATCATGAMGTGTGACGTTAACATGTTCATCTAATAATAACACGTTTCAGATGGCTTTTATTTAAAAGAACAAGAAGCTCTTTTTAATTTACTATTCATCCAATCAGATTCTTTCAAACGTCTGTCTCCAGGCAGATTTCTGTTTGAAGGAGCGTTCTCATTGGTTAGAGCTTCAGGAAACAGCTGAGTCCAGGCCTCTGCAGGAGGAGTTGGTTTAATAACTGACAGGAAAATGAACCAATCACAGTGTTCCTGTGCCGCGGCCCACCACMTGTCCTGTTTCTGTCCAGTCGCCTTGAAAACAGAAATAAGATCAGATTTCAAAAATAAAAAMAAMCACRTCCACCAGTGGAACTGACTACATGAAATGTAGTGAGAGGAGTTTAAAAATGCACCACTCAGGGATGACATGAGTCTTTTTACTGGTGTTGTCAGTACTGTCCCGGAGCAACAGACAAAACACCTGAATGCATCATGGAATAATTTACTGCGTAGAGGGGACACCGGGGACAGTAGCAACAAGGGACGGTTGCAACACATCATTTTTCTCCAAACAGAAACAGAGTGATGAC